CCCCCCCCCCCCCCCCCCCCTCCCCTCCCACGCTCGCTCGCAGGTTTGTGCTGGTGCGTGAAGTTGTTCTTTGGTGCTGAGTAGTCTTCACACTTGCCCTACATAGTTGCCTCCCTCTAGCATTGCAAATGCGTGCCTTGCGTTCAAGTGGGAAGATAATACTTGTCCAATGTTTTCCCTTCTTGTGTTCTTCGCTCGGGTCGTCGTCCACAATCACAAGTTTCACAGATTGCCCCCCAACGCCGACTTGATCGGTTTGCGTCCTTTGACGACCTCCTCCCTGTTGGCCACCCCGCTGTTTTTGAAGGCCGGTTTCGTACTGTAGCACACGCCGATACACATGTAGCTTGCTCACACCCATCGCAACAGACGCGTGAAACTTGGCTGAGAAGAACCAAGTGCGCGGAGGAAATGGGGATGTAGACTAATAGAAAGATCATGGCTAGGGGTAGTAGGGGGAAATGCAACCATCCACTGCAAGTGGTTAGCTGTTGTCGAGAAAGTGATCAAGTTATCAGGCATGTCGGTGGAGAAGAGTGTCCGCCGCTATTCACTTTATAGGCAGAGGCCCCGCAGAGTCTTCGGCCTCTACAGTGGAGACCACAGGCAACGGTCCTCTCAGATGGAGGAGAGGTTTTTCGGAGCGCCAAGTGACTGTGTGCTTTTCTCTTACCTTACGAAACCGCAGGCCCCCGGTGGTGACCGAACCTGAACAATTCCGATACAGGGGACACCACCTCTTACGGGTCGAGAGAAAATTCAATCCGGGAAGCAGCCGTGGCCCAGGGTAGATAATAAGACCAACAAGCTGCCAATTGCCCCTTGCGCACACCCGCCGGCTAACACCTCAGCGATGAACCCAAACACAACAGAACCCTCCGTTGCAAGAAACCTGCGGAGGAAAACATTTTCGAAGGAGATACATATGCGCTGCTCGTCGACACAGCAGTGGCGGTATGATGTCGGCGTCTGGCCTGTTGCCCAGCCACCATCCACCGGCCGACAAACTGCTCAAGCTTGGCAACACGGCGAAGGTTTACTCGAAGGGCTGAATCGTTTCAAGACGAACAACGTTTGAATATCCAAACACCATGGTAAAGCCACTCTCACCGGGTAACTGCATACGACTATCAATCATCCACGCACCGGCCGAAGCAACAGGGGGGGGTGATGGCCAGCGTGGAACACGCCGCTTCAAGACGACGTAATATTCGCACCGTTCGGCCAATCACAATTTAGCCGCGCTTCGGTAGTAGGCCAATAAGAATCAATCACGCACTTCGTACGTTTTCTTAGCGGCTTGTAATGTTCTCTGCAAATAGCGACGTTCAGCCTCTTCGGAATCAGCTCGTTCTTACCATTATTCTTGCAGGTAAACGTGCAAACTAGGTACGGCACACGCTGTCGTCAAGGACAACAATCCAGCAGCTAATCGACCGAGGAGCAATAAAAAAGAGAAAAGGCGCCTTTGATATTGTAGCACATCGTCCACCACAACTGTTGCCACATTAAAATAGAAAGAGACAACACCTGCGATACACACTCGATCAGGTTACGTCAAGCAAGTAATACACCCGGGATGCCCATTCAACCCATGGCATATCTGGTTTGGCACAGCAAACGCAAGGATCATGACCAGCTTCTGGGTCATCCTTGTGAAACGCAGCGTAGGTCGGCGAGAACCCGACAATCGCTCCATCTTCGGCATTGGTGCGATGCGAGGTCAATGGTCTAACGACTACGGCATGCACGACTATGAGTACACGGCCCCTCGCCTCAAAACAAAATTTGGCCCAGTCAAGGAAACGCCTGTACCACGTTGTCCTTTTGACCCAGGAGCGCGGCGCATGCATCGTCCACGGACGTACACAGGAATGCAGGGTGGTTGTCTTGTCAATTTTCGTGTGCGGGGAACTCGACGTAATTTCTCCTCTTGGCTTGTCGACGCTTCTTCTTGAGCTTCGCGGCCTGCGCACAAGACGTTGACATCCAGGTTGGACATATTGTCGAAGGCGGTGGTAAAACGCATGGAGGTAACGTGTGGAAAAAATAGAAAATGAGGCAAGCGTCAGGAGGGAGCCTCAGGGGCGGCGAGAACAATAAATTACGAAAGGTTGGGGGAAGCATGAGTCGCCTGTCATGTATGCACCCGAGATATGCACAGGACGGTGTCATCAATTGAATGTGACGAGAGAGAGAGGAGATCTTCCACCCTTGACAGATGTCACGGACACTATTGTCACCTCCTTATTGCTTCCCCCGATGTATTCATTCAGGAGCGATATTATTTTTCGCTAGACAGAAAGAAGGATTCAATAAAAATGACAACCAGAACCCGAACGGCTGGCGTCGAGTCGATCCACGGGCGTCGTTTCAAGGGGGGCGCTAGCATACGTCCGCCACATGGTCAAATGTGTTCCACACGCCCGAAAACAACAAAGCTGTTACCATTCCATTGTTTTTGCGTGGTTGCCCCTGCGTATGCACCAGGCAGACAATTTCCTGGTCGGGCGCCGCCACTTGCCTACGAAGAAATCCAATGCGAAACGGCGGAGCCCCCGGGACCACGACACAAAGTCTCAATGATGTCGGCTACTGCGACTGGAAGATGTTACATGAAGATGTTACGTACGCGTAATCGCCGACTTTGGGCAATTGGAGTTACGTCCGTCAGCTGCGGCAACACCGGGGGGGGGTACTCATAGTCGTGCATGCCGTAGTCGTTAGACCATTGACCTCGCATC